GGTCATAATTTAGACCCCTTTCAGTACGTACGGTACGGTATAGTAAGTAGAAGTACTTTACTTCTACCACAGTGCAGTAGACGTAGTACTTTAGCAACGTCATAGATGAGACTACTACAACGACAGAAATGACCCGCACGACCGAGGAGGAAAAACACGAAGAACAACCGAAATTAGCGTTTTCTGTTTTGCCGCGTTGTCAAAACATCGCACGGTTCGTACGAGTACGGTAACATGGTACTTCTAGTACGGTAACAAAGCACAAAGCAGCAGAACATCAGAGGGGGAAACCCAAACGATACGGCCGGGGAGACGAAACACGGCTGACCAACATATTCTAACAGCAACATATACTACTCAACAAGAGAACGGAACGGAATCTCATTCCAAACGAAAAATGGCATACATTGGACGCGACGGCACCGTCGGGGGCCAGGAGCAAAAAACGATCCGCCAAAAAATTACGGATTTTTTTGCGGGAATCATCGGGTTCGTTGCCCTCTTCTTCTCGGCCATTACGAATCCTCCCACCGCTATTGGATCGAACGGTAGCAACTATGCCCAACGCAACAACAACAATCCCTACAGAGTGAGCGGTGGAGGCGGCCGAACCCTGGGACGAGGCGGAGCCAACATTCGCGGAGTAGGCAATTTGCAGGGCGCCGCGGATGCAAAAATGGGCGGCGGCGGGTGAGGCCGGTAACGCCACACAAGCACAACAAGCTAGCCTCTCTTTCGTCGTGAACAAGACGGTCGGATAATTAGATTATGCATCGACCAGCGCTCCAGTTTGCTGCTTCTATTCTGTGCTGTGCTCACCAGAGCGGGCAAAGCAGTGGTGGAACGCGGTTTCGGTTTGGCACCACTCTTTGTGCTTGTCGTCATTGTCGACGAAAGAGAAGGAAGGAATCAGGGACTACAGAAACAGATAGGTCGAAGCTTTTTCTGTTAGCTAGTTTGTGTGGCAGCCTGGAGTTTTTCAATGCACGAGGGATGGCAGTAATGCATCGTCCTCCGCTGCTCTGCTCTTATTTCAGTTACGAAAAGAAAGCAGTGCAGTGTGCGATCATCACAGCCGGAATGACGCTTTCGAGGGAAGCATCAATGGGTAAATCATACCCATGATGCACTCCCGAGGAAGCTGAAAAACTCTTTTATCGTGCAGGGACTCCACCCTATTATTACCATTAATAATATTCAATTTCGTTTGATTTCAAGAATCTATCAAAATTAAATCATTGGTGGATTGAATTCAGTCTGTTTCCTACTCCGGAGAGAGAGGAAAGTTCTGAATGCAACCAAATTACTATATATCGCAAGAATCATTGTAATTGGATCAATCGAATTATGATGAGTAATCATGATGACGTTCATGTAGACATTCAAGGGTACTATTGCAGATATTGCTAAAAAATCATAGCCATGTCTACTAGCTTGAGGCTCGCATGTTAAGCGTTTTGTGTTGGACACTGTGTAAAGTGTTAATTACCACCCATTCTTCACGCTCACGAGTCCTCTTCCAATAACACCCTCCCGACCAAATCGTAACCTTCGTAGCCGGTTACCTCGACCCAATAGCGCTCCCCCGGATACACCCGGGGTTCACCCTCTAAGATAACTTGTCCATCGATTTCCGGACATTGGCCAGCGTGTCGTCCCACGATCCTGACACTCGTTGGAGATCTTTCTGGCATAGACTTGGGACTATGGCTCTCCTCGACTGTTTCTTCTATTTCTTTTAAGCCTTCTACGACAACGCGCAGGCACTCCGATCGGTCGACGCGTTCCCTATGGCGCTCTTCCACTATCTTCCACTGCTCCTCCATCAATCTACGATATCGATCTTCTTTGACGTCTTCCGGGACCTGTCCATCCAATCTTGAAGAATACGCCATTTCTTCGTTGGAATAGATAAAAACGCCGACATGGTCTAGTTTATAATCCCTTACGAACTGCAACAAATCCTCGAAATGTTCGTCCGTTTCTCCCGGGAAACCAACCATGAGGCTTGTTCGGATGTAGATATCTGGAAGACGCTCCCGTAGCGTCGCAATCGTGTTCTTGATGTGGGTCGAATCTGTTTTTCGTCTCATAGCTTTGAGCATGTCGTCGTGGGAATGTTGAATGGGTAGGTCGACGTATCGTGCGATTCTTCTGTCGGCTTCCATCAAATCGATCAAATCGGGGGTGATTTCATCTGGATAAAGGTACAAAAGTCGAAGCCAGAACGGGTCGTCGAAAGTGTTGCCATTCATATCAATAGCACCTCCACCATTATCATCGTTGCCGACACCATTGTCGTCCATAAACGACAATATGGCCTCCAATAGAAGCGTCAAGGTACTTTTTGTCTGTGTCGAGAGACCAACATTGATGTTGCCATCGTCGATGTCGTTGTTTGGTTCCTTGAGATTTCCCTTCTGCTTCGGCATAAAGTCTAGCCCGTAATCACCAAGATCCTGTGCAATTAATATCACTTCTCGAGCCGTTCCGTGTTGGACAATGGCTTCGAATTCTTCGACCACCTGCGGGATCGGTTTGCTTTGCAAGCGCCCCTTGAGCTTTGGAATGACGCAGAAACTACATCGCTTCCGGCATCCCTCTGCGATTTTAAGGTAGGCGTAATGAGGCGGTGTAGCTAAAAACCTAGGAGTTTCTCCCTTCTCGAGAAAGGACTTGCGCTGCTTGCGGGAAGAAAGACTCGGCGGGTCGGTGTTGGTATGCTTTTTTGGCGTGCCTTTCTTCGTTTTCTTGGATTTCTTTTTGCTACTGCCGCTATTTTCGTTGTCCAGAGTTCGTATTGTTTCAACGATGCTATCTATATTGCCAGACGATAGGACGGCGTCGACTCCCGGAAAATCTCGCCGAATTTGCTCTTGCTGTGCCGGGAGATTAACCATGCATCCTGTCACCACGAGTTTGCTTTCTTGTCGATTGCCATTGCTCTGGTTCTTCTCTAGAATCACCTCCTGTGCATCGGCGATGGCCGCCATAGATTCGTCCCTAGCCGATTCCAAAAACCCACATGTGTTGATCACCACTACGTCGGCCTCTGAAGGATCGGACGCTAGTTCCATATCCCCGCCATCCCCTCTGTCTTCCGAGGACGAAACGGCGTACCCTAGCATCACCTCGGTGTCCACGAAATTGCGCGGGCAGCCCAGAGACTGGAAGAATATTTTCTTCTTCTGGTCGTGGCCACCCTTTCCGATTACATTTCTTCGGCGGCCCCTTCCCTTGCGTCTCGTTGCTGCAGCACCACTGACACAACGGCCTTGCTGATAGAAAATATTCGACCTGTGGTCTCTTCGGTCGAAGGAATCGGGCTGGTTGTGGTGCACAAGACGGCAACGAGAACCAAGAGTACTCATCCCTACGCGACAATTTTTCAGTAACCTGATAGATGGAATCATGATGAGATAATGATACTAGATTCACCAGGCATAAGATTGAGACGCTAATCACTTGATGGTATCCTGCCCGGCATCAGTGATTAAGAAGCTTCCGAGACAGATGACATCACAGATAGGTGAACAGTTGATGAATGAACGAGATGAATGAATGAAATGAATGAACAGAATGAGTGAATCACCAGTGCACGAGTTGACCAATAATGTACAGTTGTACTCGTACTATCGTACGATACTGTAAATTTTTTTCACTCATATTCGCGCATTATTTTAATTCGTGATTCAATAGTTTGGGTCCTGCGTGAATTGCATCATTCGTTCTACCGTACGGTATCGTACGATACGAGGGCACGGTACAGTACGTACTAAACGGTTGACAGACATTGGACAGATACCGTATTAGCGTACATCAACTACAAGGTACGGTACGTACTGTACCTACCGTATGTACAATAGATTATCATTCTTCCAGTACTTCTATTCTACGAAGTACCCGTTCTACGTTCACCTAGCACTGTTTGCGGATGTTTCGAGAAATAGTTACGTACCGGTAGGCTATTCCTACAGTAAGGCCTTGACACTAATGTGTCGAAAGTAGGAGTTCGTACGGTATGGTATGGTGGGTATCTTTCTAACAATCTTTGATCGAAAACAAAGAAGGCATGGGTGGGCTGCAAACATAAAGTACCGTAGGAAGCACAATTTAAATTGTTACGAAATGGAGAGCGACAGCTTTATCACTGGGACCGAAACTCATAGTGTTGGACGTGTCGAAAAGAGTGCTCGACACGGTGTAGCCGAAAAGACTTACTGTCCTGCTGCTTGGATAGGGTCTGCGATGACGGGGGCAAGGATAGTGTTGTTGCCAGTCGCGATTCTTGCCGTATCATTATTGGCATTTCATGCGAGTTTTAATTCGACTGCTGTTTTTTCAGCGGTTGCTAATAATACCGGAAACAACGAAGGTGCAGTAGTTTTGGTTACCGGCGCGACAGGGCGTTTGGGATCCAGGTTGTATCTTTCTCTGAAACAACGCAAAGAAATCCAACAGAAACGGAAGATGAAAGTATACGACGAAGTCGCTATTGCCGAGGTGAGGGCTCTGGTGAGGGACCGTGCAAAGGCCAGGGATATTCTAGGATGCGAGGCTTGCGACGAATCGGAAGGCATCTACATTGGCGACGTCACGAAACAGGACGGTCTCGAGAGCGCTGCAAGGGATGGGAAGGTGACGGTCCTCGCCATTGCTGCGGGTGCGGGTCCCGGAGTCTCGAAGGAAGTCCAGCGTGCCGTTGAGTTCGAAGGAGTGGTTAACTCGGTCCGAGCGATTGCCACGAAACGGTCCGGAACGGCGAGCACGAACGGCGGGGCACCTAGGGTAGTGCTCTGTAGCAGCATGGGGACCACCAGACCGCCATCCACTTCCAGGATTGGAGACATTTTGTTCTGGAAACTCAACGCCGAAACATTTTTGTCTACCTCGGGGGTATCGAGCACCACGATTGTGAAACCCTGCGGGCTCAAGGACGACATAGAAACAAGTGCTGCGCTTTATACCGGGCATCTAGACGAGCCCAGTGAGTTTCACACAGTTTCGAGAGACAACGTGGCGAGTGTCATGACCGAGGCCGTTGTAATGACCACTAGTGATGGTGGCCATCACCGTTTTGATCTGTGCAGCAAACCCGGTGATCCTACAACGGATTTCAAAAAATTGATAGAGGATTCTCGATGGGAATGGGAATAGGCATAAAATATCAGGACGAGAAAGATGTCGTCAAGCGTCTTTCGTTAATCTTTTCTGGTTGACAATGACGAAACCCCAGACCAAATGTCCCGAGCGCAATTTTGAAGGAAAATTTCAATAGAAAAAGGGATAGAATCACAAACACCCAGGAGAAATTCTGTTGAGCTGGGGTCGATCATAGCGGTGACCATATTGAGACCAAACAAATATTTTCCGCAACAAGGGCTCAATTATGTATTTCTTAGCTCTATTATCGTTGTATTCGATTGCTTTCTTTACACTCCTATCAGTGCGCATAGGGACAGGATAAAGTTATCAACACGGGAAACTAAACCTTTCTGCTACATTTCTGGCATCCATTCCTTACGATCCCCAATATACCTTCCATCGATACAGACACTATCTAGTTGTCGTAGTCGCTAAGCGATCTATTCTGGTCAAGGCCGAAGGCGATTGCTCGGAGGGGGAGGCGGCGGCGGTGGTATCACTCGTGGCGGCAGTCCTGGTGGTAGCGGTGGCGGCGGCGGCGGTATCAACGGTTGCCGATTGTATTGTTGCGGCTGCTGTTGATTGTAAATCTGATGAGGCTGCTGTTGGTGTTGCTGCATGCTACCGACGTGTTGAAATTGATTATGGTATGGCTGCAGCTGCGTAAGATTTCGGCTTTGATGTCTTTCTCTCGGGAAGTAATCGTATCGATCTTGGCGTTGCATATCACCCAAAGGCATCGATGCGTGAGACCGTCCCGAAGAATACGGCTGAGAATTGTGGCCGGCTGGTTGAGGTGGCCACTGCTGTTGCTGCTGCGGTCGTACATAATGGTTGTTTGGTTTCCCATAAGGACTGCGATTGTTTTGCCTTCGACGAGCCGTGTATTGGTCTCGTTCTCGCTTTCTCATCGCAAAATCCTCTTCCCTTTTGTTGCTCCGGGAATGTCGTCCTCCTCGACCCTGTCCCCTCCCTCCGGGAATCAGGTTTCGGTTGCTCCCAGCATTGTTTGCGCATTGAACAGTTGAGTTCGTTGCGCCATGCTTCGCGCTCGCTGGATCGGCCCCGGAAGCGACACAGGCCATCGCTTCGTCTTCTTCCTTCTTTGCACCGTTCGCAGCCGCGTCCGGGCGTTGATCCGGTGGAAGGCGCTCCAGGACCGCAGCCGGAATCCGATGGAAGGGCCACACGGGCCGCTGCGACGGCCAGTAGGGCTCCGCTCCACCAAACCGCACAAGGGTTTCGTCGCAGCCGCCGGTATCTCTCCACAACAAGCTGTCCCACGCCCTGGCAGCGGCGGCGTGCTCGGCCAAGACTTTTCGAGGATACCAATAGAGACCGTCCTTGTCGGGGGTTATCGCCTGAGAGGAATTAGGGTCTCCGATGGCAATGCGCAGGGGCCCGGCCAGGAAGGCCTCCTTGGTCATCGGGCAGATGAAAACGGTGGTGAAGTTTGGTTGGTGCAGAGCCGTCCCATCGCATTCCCACGTAAGATACTGATCGCACGATACCTGCATCTTCCGGGGTTTCTTTCCATACCATTGGTAGAGAGCTGCCTTGGGATATATGCTCCCTAGTGGTGCCGCTCCGGTCGGCTTGGTCTTGTTCGATGCGATAGTAGAGGAGCTCAAAGAGTCGCCTCCGGTCGAGTTTGTCACGACCGTTGAACTATCCGAAAAGCGTTGCATTTTTCTGGGAGGCAAATTCCCAGTAGTGTCAACTGTGTCCCTCCCTCGTTTTCGTTCCAGGGCCGTTGATATGTCGGCGCTGTCGTTGTTGGCCGTGGTGAATGTCTGGTCGGTGAATTTTTTACAGGTATTTTTTTCTATAGGGAGGCCCGACGTCCACGCCACGGGTACGATCATGGACGTAGACGGCATTGGAAGACGAACATCAGTGTTGAATTGCGCTTTTGTATTCGACACTGCATTCTGATTGCCACTGCTGTTGATGGTGGTTGTTTCCCTGTGTTTGTTTTGTAGCGGATGGTTGGTTCGTGTTTGTTTTTTGTTTCGGCGTCCCGTTTGTTCGGCAATCCCCGTGCCTAATCGATCCAGAAAGGGTGCATTTCTTGCGGAGGGATTGTACCTCCAACCGGTTCGGGGTTTGTACGACAGCTCTCGAAGCGGAGACGGCAGGATGGGCCGGAAACAGGTCACCTCGGCTTGGGCATCGTACTCGGAAAGGCCGTCGTATCCACCAACGCCCAAGCATTCGCCACCGCCTCCGTTACCGTTTCCGGACCTCGATTTATCTCTACCGAGGTACCGCAAGCGAGAAAGAAAGCGACGACGACCGTTGTGGTGCTCCCAATCGTGGAAGTTTGGTGCTCGAACCCGGCCGTATACGTCGTCCTCGGCATCTGCGAAGACATCGTCGAGAGGGTCGGGCTTGGTCATCACAGTTAATCGGTTCGTTTAGATTCTATTCGATTCAGGCGGTGGGCTTGCACATGTGTGTCGTTGCGCATGCGATTGCTTTGGAGCGTATATCAGACAAAATTGCTTAACACCAGCAATTGCGGAAAACGTTCTCGAAAACGTTTCTCCTATTCACTCTTGAATCCCGCGAATAATGAAACGCAACAGAACACGACACACAAACAGGCGAAGCAATCAATCTATCGACAACCAACTGGGTACTCGTGTCTTAGCAAGCTATGTTAGGTGCTCAGTACAGTACGTAGCACAGTTGATTACCGTGCGGTATTCAATGCTCCCAACCAATACGAAACGAATATGCATTAAAACGAAACGAAACGCGACCCGACCCGACCCGACGCAAGCACAACGCGATGCAATGCGAAACAACAACAATGCTTTCCTGAACTCTTTGTTCACATGGGCAGCGTCTAGCCTCGGAAATTCTCGCAAAGGGACTATATTGCTTGGACCGAAGGTTCTGAATCTGAATTATCCGTAGTTTGAGATTGTGTCAAGACACGTTCGTTCCGGCCGGTTGGTAATGTTAATGTTTATGGTACGGTATCGTACAGTAATGGCAAGAGTACGAATGCGAGTACGTGCGCATAACCCTACGGCTACTTGGTACTTGTACCGGTACGAGTACGTATCTCTCACAAGTATCGAAGGGCCTTTGGCTCAGGAACCCAAGCGTGCGAACCTCCCCCCTTTTCTTGAGGTTGTCCCTCAAAAATTAATGGGTGCTTTGTTTCTAACGTGCGGTTCGTGCTGTACGGTACGTACGTACTCGTACGTATCATGTTCGTTCACAGTTCACATTCAGCACTCAACATTCATACATTCATGGTACCCGGAAGGTACGAGGTACCCCACGAAGGTACCAGATAAGATACGGTACCATGTAGTACGGTACCATACCATATCGTATGACCGTATGGTACGTACGTACTCGTACTTGTCCTGTAGAAATACGTAGATGGTAAAGTACGAGGTACCTTACCGTACGAGTACCTTACTGTACGGTAATAGAGAATTCGTCCAACAAATCATACCCTATCGGGCTGGGGTTGGGGTTAAGTGAATGATACCGTGATTTGGATTTGTAATTGTAATTTTACCGGAATGTTTCTGGCGAAGATGGCGTCTTGACTCGCGAAGATCACTTTTTGAATCATTTTTTTGACCAAAATTTCGTCAAGAATCTCATGTATGGAATACGAATACTTCCTCATACTACCCGCGTACCTTCTCCAAATTCGAATCCATTCTACATGCGTTGCCACCGTGCGGCAATCACTGCGTGCAGGGCAGGGCATTCTTTCTTCGACAGATCATCCTGCATCGACCAGAGCACTGCCCGATCGCTTGTCCGAAGGTATCAAGGCGGAAGAGCACCGGTGAATGCACAACAGACGGCGGTGTCATTTTGTTCGCCGACACGCAGGGAATCATGTTCTCCTTCTGTGAAAGGCAACGACCGCGGCGCCTGCGAATCCTAGCCGCGTCCTTCTCGGTGGTGGCATGTGCAAAAGCCACGCCACCCACCGGTGACGCCCCGGCCTCGGTTTCCACAGGGGACTTTCTCTTCGAGGAGGTCCCCCATTCGGAGTTTTCGGATTGCGAGCTCGGATGCGCCAACGGCGGATACTGCCGGTTCGTGCACGGGACGGAAGAGGATCTCGCCCGCGCGGCGATGAGCGGGGCGCTGGTCGAGAGCTGCCGGTGTCCGGAGGGATTCACGGGCAAGACCTGCCAGTTCTTGGCCGGAGCCGACGTGCCGCCGGAACGGAGGTGCCAGGGCGACGAAACCAATGCCGAAACGCAAGCCTCGTTTCACGGGTGCGATTGCGCCTTCGCCGATGCCGTCTCGGATTTTGCCGGGGCGATGTGCCGGAGCCCCGTCACCGAGTACTGCGGGGGGGGCTTTGGCGTCCAAAGCCGCGCTTCGGTTTCCTTTTGCACGAACGGGGGGCGGTGCCGCAAGGACGTGATCGAGGCGACGTTTTTGCCGAAAGATCCCGAGGGCGGGCGCAGCAGCGACGGCACCCCGGGGTGCCTCTGCCCCAGAAATTTCTACGGCCCGCACTGCGAGTTCTTGCGAATGGATCCCAGCGACGGAAACCTCGTCTTTGCCGAAGTGGAGGTAGCGCCCGACGACGACACGCGGCTTTCGGGAGGAACGGATCCATCGTCGACATCGCCATCCGCATCGTCGTTGCGATCCACGGTAGATTACGAAACTGCGACAAAATCACGCGGGGCAGCAACTTTGGTCTTCCTGCTTGCTCCCGTCACGATCGGCCTCTTGGCTCTTTCGGTGTGCGTTTCTAGAACCTTTCTCGCCCGTCACCCCGGAGCAGCCCACCGCACCGGCATGCTGCAACGAGCGCGTCTTTTCTTGCGGAGATCCAACGGCTCGAAGGACCACAAGACCGGTGCTCTGTCGTCGTCGTTGTCTTCGAAACCCTGGGACGGCCGGTCCGACACCTCGAGCGATTGCAGCGACAACGGGTACCGCCATTGTTGTTCGTACGCAGACGACGAGAACAAAGTCTTCGACCAGGTCAATTTCAACGAGGAGGACGAACTCGGCATCGCATCGATGGCGAGCAGACTAGACCTCGGGCCCATTGACGAAGACACCGAACGCCCAGACGCCTTTTAGCAACAAACCACGAGGCGCGCCGTGTATCTATGTATCGATTGCATCGTGTATCCAAAGTTTGGAGATTGGCTCTCATCTGGACGGATCTCGATGGCGGTTTGTTGCAATCATCAGTTTAAATAGTGTGACAATTAGTAAAGAATAGATAATGCTTGCAGATAAATATCGTAGCTACGCATGTCGCAATTCGAGCACGGCAGCGTGCGCCGATTAGATTATGATGCGGTTGCATTTCGAAAGCGTTCTAATGCATGGCGAAGGATAATGGATTTGCGATGCGAAGTTGCGGCTACAACTAAAAAGATCGGATTCAAGTTTCTTTTCGAGGATAATTGGTGTTTATCACACAGTTTGAACAAATTGCTGGCTCTCGGTAATTCTACATTAAGTTCCTCCAATCGTCATTTTTCCTTGGGCGTCAAAGCCAGGTAGAAGCATGTCGTCATCATCCTTATCGCTAGCCCATGGCGCTTTCTCGCCATTAGCTTCGGCTTCTAGTTCCATTTGCTCCAACTCGAAGATTGATGTCGTTTGTTCCTTCCACATTCGATCCTGTTGGTCTCGTAGACTCATTCCTTGTCCATAAATTCTTGTGGCAACGACTTCGGCCTCGGAGGCAATCTGCTTAATGCGTGATGCCAAATCACCACGCTCGTCATCGTATTGAAGGTTGCCAAAGTTCAACATAACTGCTTTACAGGCATTGATAAAATCTGGTGGAGGAACGTCAGGCATAGGTTTTTCTTGGTCTGGAACCTCTCCGTCCATTGCCTTGGCGGCGTTGTCCGGAGTTCCTGCGACCAACAAGTTTTCGCGAGGTGTAAAGGCATCCTCTAGCATCTTTTCCCGTTCGGCCGAATCTGCGGCACGCAGCAATTTACGTATTAAAGCAATTTCTTTCGAAGAAGCTTGTTTATCCTTTTCTTCCGCAGCACGGAGTCGGAGACGTTTCATCAACTCGGCTGGGCCCATGGCACCAGCTTCTCTAGCCTGATTTTCATTCACTTCCAACAACAACAGGAAGGATTCGTCGATTTTATCTTCACGGCACATTTTGATGATAGCACCTTCCATTCTCATGGGATCCCCCATACCAAGAACAGTTTTCAACTGTTCGGTCGCGTTCGCAATTCGCTTGGATTGTTCCTCGGCCAAAGCATTGAGGAGGTCTGCACAACCCTGATCGCCTTCGGCGACTTTCGCATTCAACACCTTGACAAATTGTGCGTCGAATCGATCATAATTGTTCATGACAACAGATGCTGGCGTTGTTCCGGTTTTGTAAGGAGGAAGAAGGTCTTTCAGGGTGTCTTCGTAGCTCATCAGAATTTCAGGCGTTATTTCTTCTTCAAAGAAGGACTTCTTCTTGGTTTCTGCACGGTCCTCAGCAGAAGCTTGCGACGCCTGATCGATCTTTTGTGCCTTCCGCAAGAGGTCAGCGTTAGAAAGCTGCCGTCCCTCTTCTGCTACAACTTCAGCGTCGATGATGCGCTGTTCTTCGGCTTCGGCGGCTTCTCTCGCTTCACGTTCTTCTCGAATTTTGGTCAATTCTTGCTTCTTAATAACATCTTTGATCATGGCCAACAAGTCCTTAAGTGCCAGGCGTTCATCGGCTTCATTAGAGTTCTCCGCCTTTTGTTCCATCCACTTCAAAAATTCTGGATCAGTGGCTCGTTCGTAGTTTTCGATGATGTCCAGGCGAGGATCATTTGTTGAAAACACAAGATCTCCGAGGAAGATTTCAAAAGCTTGTACCATCTCGTTATTTTCTTCGCCATCACCAACAACTTCACTGCCCATGAGATTGTAATCATCACCCATCACTTCGTCCAGAATCCCAAACAACGGCTGATGGCGTTCATAGTTCTGCTGTTGTCGAGCCACAGAGAATCGATTGACTGGCGAAAATGCACTGGCATAGTGACTAGATGCCAGAACAGTGGCTACTGTGAGGGTTGCGAATTTCATCTTCTCGCGCTATGAGTTTCGATGTGAGTTCTTCTGTCTAAATAGTGTAATGTTCGATCTGCCTCGATTATGAGAAATCGTCTGCAGCCCAGTTGCAGTTTGTGTGTCTCTCTGCTTCTCTCTTTCTTCCCAACTCCTCGAAAAAAGGAAACAAACAGAAAAACGTCAGAATTTTTCGTTTTTGTGATTGCTGTTGCATCATGTTTGACGTTTCTACCGTGGGGGTACGTGTAAGGGCTGACGTTCTTCTCTTGTTCTTTCCCCCCTTTCAGAAGCTTTTCCCCTTTTAATGTTCGGACGAAGTGCAGACTCCTATTTTTGAAATCTAGTACAAGTGCCAACCAATCTTAATTTCTGAACATCGTCGAACTGTTTTTTCCTTTTTCTGAACTTTTCTGTTTTTTTTTTGCCTCGTCGTCGGACGACAAGTACTTGTTGTTCTCTCGAGAATTTTGTGTTGCATCCAGATTGTCCTCACACCAAATCTGAGAGAAGGTGGAATCCAGAGTAAACGTCAACAAAGCTAGATTGGCATACCCCACTTCAATAAGTATTGGAAATTTCCTACCATGCCGAAAGCTAGAAAGAATGCACGAAGCCAATCACACCATTCGATATCCTCCGCTAAACCGTATTCGGCATCTACAGATCGGATAAGGAGAGACGACAATTTAAAAACAGCCTCAACCAATCTTATCACTCCGAATACTTCTATCGGTCAGCACTTTTTGAAAAATCCCGCTGTTGTGACTGCAATTATCCAAAAATCGGCTATCAAACCCACCGATGTAGTCCTCGAAATTGGTCCCGGTACGGGAAATATGACGGTCCCGCTATTGCAAAAAGCAAAAACAGTCGTAGCTCTAGAATACGATTCGAGGATGGTTAGGGAGGTCCTAAAACGTGTTCAAAATACTACAGAAGAAAGAAAACTCAAGGTGATCCAGGGTGATGCCATTCAGACGAAATGGCCATTTTTTGATTTGTGCGTTGCCAACATCCCCTATCAAATTTCGAGTGCTATTGTGTTCAAACTTCTCGCCCACCGCCCCATGTTCCGGTGCGCAGTACTCATGGTTCAAGAAGAATTCGCACTGCGTTTGTCGGCACGACCAGGCGAGGCACTCTATTGCCGTCTTTCCGTGAACTGTCAGCTGCTTGCCAAAGTTGATCAACTGATGAAAGTGGGAAGAAATAACTTCCGACCGCCACCCAAGGTCGAGTCCAGAGTGGTCAGGATAGAGTTGAAGAATCCACCACCGCCAGTGAACTTTGTCGAATGGGATGGAATGGTACGGCTACTTTTCAACAGGAAAAATAAAACCCTGCGTTCGGTTCTCAACACGAAGGCTACACTTAAATTGTTGGAAGAAAATCGAAAAACATTGCAAAGCCTCAAAAAAACCCAGAGGAAGTCTGGCGGGGCTGATGCGATGAGCGACGACGAAGGGGAGAACGAATCTGTCAAGGATATCTTAGAACGCATCTTGTCAAAACCCGAATATAAGGACAAGCGAGCGCGCCAACTTGATCTCGATGACTTTCTACAGTTATTGTCAGACTTTCACGATGAGGGAGTCTACTTTACTTCGTAGGCGAGTTCTGAATCGATACAGCTGCTAACGAGAATGAAACTGTCAACATCAGTCTCAGACACTTCAATATTCAGTTTTTGTTATTGCAATTCAACAAAAGTATACAATTTTTATCAAATATGTAAATGATTACTTACATTATACTATAACAAAAGAGATCGAATCTAATTGAATCGCAATGATTTTGGCAAAAACATGTGAAATGTGTCATATAAAGCAACAATCGCAATCGAAGGGACAATCTTTCGTTGTCCCAGCTGTAGGTTTGTTCAAAAGATGACGTTTGAAGACTTTGACACCATCTTCTACCCGACCTGTGTAGCCTTCCTTATTATATTTTCCGCCCAAACCATCATCGACCCACTCTTTGCTGCCTAGTTCGCTAATATGTTTTCCTTTAAGGGAAGACGAAGCACTACCGCCGTTTTTATACCTCGCTTTCTTAGCGGCAATTCGAGATGCTTCTTTCTTTGCGTCTTCCTTTTTGGTCTGTTGGTCTTGCTTTTTCTTGTCGGAAAAGAGTTTGTCAAATTCGTCAATGCCACCGCCAGATTTGCTTTTGTTGCTGTCAGCACTATCGCCGCTGTGACTCTTCCGTTTCTTTGAACCTTCACTCGCAGTGCCTGCTGTCTTCTTATCACTTTTTGCCATATTCTTTTTGCCCCTTTCCTCGTGTGATCTCAGATGGAACTTTTTTTCGGTTTGTAAATGATGCGGGAAATTGGTTGTAAGAAACACGGAGCTGGGAACAATACATCCTGTTTTGGTCGCCGAGATCGCATAAGAGTGCCGTACCGTAAGGTATCTACTCGTACCTTGGAATGTAGAAGCCGAGAATGTTCCGGGAGCAAGCAACGTGCTTCACAGGTTTACCTAAAATCTCGAATCAACAATTATGTCGTTGAGTGGTCGGCGGCTCAGGTCACTTTGGGGGCGAATCCATATTTTTATTGAACGATTACGTGGTCGTACCTAGGGGTCATAAATTTAGAGGGGTGCGCAAGGCATCGAAACTCTTATTCCATCTGTGGTACCAATAAGAAAATTTTACCCCCAGGGATTTTTTTCCATTTCATTTTTACTCCATATCACTGCAAAAAGTGTACTACCTGAAAGACCCCATGCACAGGAACACTTCTAATCACTCTCTAATTTTCAAACTTCACATGCACATCTCTCACATAGTTGAGAGGCAATTTTCACTGTTATTGCTGTCTTCAGTTTAAACATTAGGGTGCTGACACAGGGCTGGTGATAGTAACAGGCTAGTACAGACTACTAGTACTGTATTTACAGTGGAAATAATCTGTCCTTTGTCCAGTCAGTCCCACCAGTCTAGTCTTAGCAAAAATTCAAACTGTCTGTCCTTCATTCGTTTCTCCCACTAATTCCCCAGTAGTAATTTCTACTAATAATCTAGTCAATATTTAACAGTGGAAAGGTACTACACTATCATTCCATTTGACACTGAAAATATTGGCATATTCAGAATCCTCATGAAAAACTGAGTTATACAAAGTACTCAAAAATTTCAATGGTAGGATTTTTGATAATGTTGTTACTGCTTAAAGGTTGGGTAGATTTACTAGTATTATGCAGTAAAAATGAAATTGAAAAAAATCCNATTCTCTCTCCTATCCAAGCGTGTGCTTGTGGTATGTGGGCAGAGCCGTTCGCAACCTCTTGTTTCGAAAGAGATTGGTTACTGCTTGTGTACTACGATTACGAGAACGTACGTACATTTCATGTAAAAGCATGAAGTTCAAAATTTCCAATTTCTGATGGTTTTGATGCGACCAAAATATGAAGTTTCGGGGTACCGTACGGTACGTAGGGTGATCCGGTGATGTTTGCCCACACAGTACGAGTACGTACGTACGAACGTGAAGTAAGTTTATCGTCCGGCCCGGTCGGGGAATGTACAGTAGTAAGTGTGAGGCTAAATCCCGAGTAGCTAGTGAATAACCTCACTCCTCTATTGTAAACCAGGGGTCATAAATTTAGAGGGGTGCGCAACGCATCGAAACTCATATTCCATCTGTGGTACCAATAAGAAAATTTTACCCCCAGGGATTTTTTTCAATTTCATTTTTACTCCATATCACTGCAAAAAGTGTACCTGAAAGACCCCATGCACAGGAACACTTCTAATCACTCTCTAATTTTCAAACTTCACATGCACATCTCTCATATAGTTGAGAGGCAAGTAGTAAGTATATTTTCACTGTTATTGCTGTCTGCAGTTTAAACATTAAGGTGCTGACACAGGGCTGGTGATAGTAACAGGCTAGTACAGTCTAGTACTGTATTTACAGTAGAAATAATCTGTCCTTTGTCCAGTCAGTCCCACCAGTCTAGTCCTTAGCAAAAATTCGAACTGTCTGTCCTTCATCCGTTTCTCCCACTAATTCCCCAGTAGTAATTTCTACTAATAATCTAGTTAATATTCAACAGTGGAAAGGTACACTATCATTCCATTTGACACTGAAAATATTGGCATATTCAGAATCCTCATGAAAAACTGAGTTGTACAAAGTACTCAAAAATTTCAATGGTAGGATTTTTGATAATGTTGTTACTGCTTGAAGGTTGGGTAGATTTACTAGTATTATGCAGTAAAAATGAAATTGAAAAAAATCCCTGGGGATAAAATTTTCTTATTGGTACCACAGATGGAATGGATTTTTTTTCATCCTGATGCTGAAAAACATGCGCATTGCACACCCCTCTAAATTATCACCCCTGTTGTAAACCACGTATTAACACGCAGTAAGGAGCCTATTAACATGTGCAAGTAAGTGCGTACCCCGTGCTCTACTTTGTACACAGCAGGGGTCAGTACGTACTTCGTCTGATATCACCTGTCATTTCTTGTCACCTGTCAACGCCACATAAGATATGTAAGTACTATATTCGACTAAGTGGTTACCATACTATGCATTTAACCACGTGTCGCTTAAAGGCAGCATTGGTGCACATCACCATATTATGTTGTTACTATGTCATATTGGTATGTATTGATGTCATATCATATCATATCATATCATATCATAGTATCATACCCTACATTTGATTAATTCTGTTATGTAAGGAATAGTACATGGTACATACATAGCACATATACATTTATAGTTAGGGTTATTTGGCCAATTTTAAGGTGCTATTGGGTTCCAACATCAGAGTTTGAACACCGGTTAAAAAATAATTATTTTCCTGTAGAAGTCTACAGAACCTGGCTGAAAGTGAGTTATTTTTAACCGTTATTGAATTTTTTAAACGTTTTGTGACGTCAGTGAAGAAGATTTTTAGAACCATGGTCAGAAATCATGATAAAAATGCTAACAAAAAGCACGGAGTGATGAAATCTGGCTTTCGTACCAGTACAAACGCACAATATTGTAAATCAATTTTGATTTGCAATATTGTGTGTGTTTTCACTGCAGTCTTTTCTATACGGAGGACGCTCACTGATATGAAAGACGCTCACTGATACGAAGGACGCTCACTGAAACAGAGGATGCTCACTGATACAGAGGACGCTCACTGATACAGAGGCTTGCTGATAGGGAGGATGCTGAAACGGAGATGCTGATACAGAGGATGCTAACTGATACGGAGGCTCACTGATACGGAGGACGCTTGCTGATACGGAGATGCTGATACAGAAGATGCTGATATGGAGGATGCTAACTGATACGGAGGCTCACTGNGGAGGCTCACTGATACGGAGGACGCTTGCTGATACGGAGATGCTGATACAGAAGATGCTGATATGGAGGATGCTAACTGATACGGAGGCTCACTGCTGATACAGAGGAAGCTTGCTGATACGGAGGCTTGCTGATACGGAGATGCTGATACGAAAGATGCTGATACGGAGGCTTGCTGAAACAAAGGATGCTGATACAAGTCACTGATATGGAGCTTTTGCCTGTTGTCATGTAGTCATGTATTGTACAGTACAAAATAAGGAAATAAAGTAGAATAGTATTTACTTTTTCCCGGTTCACCTAAACAGAAGTTGGTTGTGTCCAATGTCGGGTTTTCCATTATGTTAACACGGGGTGTTCCCCCTTGGGGGAACCCAAAGGTGTCATGGGAATAAAAAAATCATACCTCTACCTAATTTTTCATCCTGTGCCTTCTGAAGATTAACACGCACATTAATCAAAATCAATTTTGATTTCTATTTTTGTGTGTGTTTTGGCTGTACAGTGGTCATGTATCGTACAGTACAAAATACAGTAATAAAGTAGAATAGTATTTACTGTTTCCCAGTTCACCTAAACCGAAGTTGGCTGTGTCCAATGTTGGGTTTTCCATTATGTTAACATGGGGAGTTCCCCCTTGGGGGACCCAGGGGTGTCTTGGGAATTAAAAATTAGTACCCGTATCTAATTTTTCATTCTGTGCCTTGTGGAGATTAACACGCACATTATTCAAAATCAATTGGAAATGTCGGAGCTCAGAAATATCGGAGCAAAGCATCGAAATTGTGTTTGACGCAAAATCGTCTCATAGTCAGATTTCACACTTTCATGTAAATAACACGTGATTTCAGTGTGATTTCTCACTGTTCGACCAATTCAGGTTTTTTCAGGTTTTTCCCCATACCGTACATATGATCAATCGTGTGATCGTATGATTTTTAGTTCGTAGCAAAACACTTTGGTGTGACCTTAAAACTATTAATAGTGAGAGCTTGAGTTAAAGCTAAAGCTGGAGCTGGAGCTAGAGCCAACTAGTGTTAGCTAGGGCTGCAGCTACTACAGCTAAGCTACTGGAGATAAAGGTACAACTATGTGAAAAATAGAATTAGCCTGAGGAAATGAAGAATTAGTAGTAGTTAACCAGTAGTATATCTAGTACTGAAAGTACAAGGACTAGTACTACTAGTATTACTATTTCTGGTACTACTACTTCTGTGTTTCCCATAGTAGTAGTACTACTAAAATTTGAATTGATTAGCTAGAGCTACAACCTAAGCTACAGCCTAAGCTACAGCCTCACCAGCTAGAGCTGGGTGTACAGATAGCTGGAGCTTTAGCTCGAGCTCCAGCTCCAGCTCCACCTGTAGCTTGCTCTGATACATCAAGCAATACACAAAGCAATACACAAAGCAATACACAAAGCAATACACAAAGCAATACACAAAGCAATACACAAAGCAATACACAAAGCAATACACCAAGCATAACTTTTTCTGGTACTACTTCTGTTTTTCACATAGTAGTAGTACTAGTACTAGGATGTAGATGTAGATCTAGATCTAGATCTAGATCTAGAGCTACTAGAGCTAGAGCTAGATCTAGAGTTACTAGAAAACATACACACTCATTGATCAACACTCACCATTTCACACTCATCTGGAGCTGGAGCTGGAGCATACTAGTAAATATAAATATAGAGGTACACATAATTATAGAGCTAAATTAGCTAAAGGTACAACTATGTGAAAAATAGAATTTTCTTGAGAAAATGAAGTGGTAGTAGTTAGGTAGTAGTATATCTAGTACTGAAAGTACAACAACTACTAGTAGTAGTAGTATTACTTTTTGTGGTACTACTTCTGTTTTTCACATAGTAGTAGTACTACTAGGATCTAGATGTAGATATAGTAGATATATATAGATATAGATATAGATATAGATATAGATATAGATATAGATATAGATTTAGATTTAGATTTAGATTTAGATTTAGATTTAGATATAGATTTAGATGTAGATCTATAACTAAAGTGGTAGCTGTAGCTGTAACTGTAGCTATCTAGATCTAAATAAAGATCTATATCTAGATCTAGAGCTAGAGCTTTAGATGTAGTAAGGTACAGTTTTTTTCACATAGTAGTAAAACAACTACTTCTAGAGCTAGAGCTATATCTAGAGCTATATATCTACTAGAGATATATCTACTAGAGAGATATATCTAGAGCTACAGCTAGCTACAGCTGCTACAGCCTCAACAGCTACAGGCTAAGACTGGAGCTGGAGCTGGAGTTGTTGCTTGGTATATTGCTTGGTGTATTTCTTGGTGTATTTCTTGGTGTATTGCTTGGTTTGTTGCTTGGTGTATTGCTTGGTGTATTGCTTGATGGTGTATTGCTTGCTGGTGTCTTGCTTGCTGGTGTCTTGCTTGGTGTATTGCTTGGTGTATTGGCTGCAGGTGTAGCTGTAGCTTTAGCTGTAGCTTTAGCTGTAGCTGTAGCTGTAGCTGTAACTGTAACTGTAACTGTAGCTATCTAGATCTAAATCAAGATCCAGATCTTTATCTATATCTAGAGCTAGAGCTAGAGCTTTAGATGTAAGGTACAGTGTTTTTCATATAGTAGTAAAACAACTACATCTAGAGCTAGAGGTATATCTACTAGAGCTATATATGTACTAGAGCGTAGCCTCAGACTGGAGCTGGAGCTGGAGCTTGATCGCTTCAGTTTTTTCCTCGTATGTATAATCAATTGTGTGATGGTATGATTAGTTTGTAGCAATACTTCGGTGTGATCATAATTTTAGTGGTGAAGACCTAGAGCTGGAGCTGGAGCTGTTGCTTGGTGGTGTATTCTTGCTTGGTGTATTGGTTGGTGTATTTGTTGGTGTATTGGTTGGTGTATTGCTTGGTGCATTGCTTGGTGTATTGCTTAGTGTATTGCTTGATGTATCAGAGCAAGCAACAGGTGGAGCTGGAGCTGGAGCTAGAGCTAGAGCTAGAGCTAGAGTTACTAGAAAACATACACACTCATTGATCAACACTCACCATTTCACACTCATCTGGAGGTGGAGGTGGAGGTGGAGGTGGACCTGGAGGTGGAGGTGGAGGTGGACCTGGAGGTGGACCTGGAGGTGGAGCTGGAGGTGGAGCTGGAGCTGGAGCATACTAGTAAATATAAATATAGAGGTACACATAATTATAGAGCTAATATAGCTAAAGGTACAACTATGTGAAAAATAGAATTTGCTTGAGAAAATGAAGTAGTAGTAGTTAACAAGTAGTATCCAGTACTGAGAGTGCAACAACTAGTAGTATTACTTTTTGTGGTACTGCTTCTGTTTTTCACATAGTAGTAGTAGTACTAGGATCTAGATGTAGATGGGGATATTGCAAAATTGTTAGTACTGGTGGTGTTGTAGCTAAAAAAGGCAAAAATACACTACTAATTACTCTTTAGTAGTAAATTTTGCCAGGAACACCACATAAAATGGCCAGATTTTTCATAACCACGCCTCAAGAATGCAATCATCTAAAATATCCCCAGAGGATTTTGCAAAATTGTTAGTACTGGTGGTGTTGTAGCTAAAAAGGCTAAAATGACGCACTAGTACTGCACCAG